TTTGCTAAGTTTAAAATAACAAGAATTTGGCACAGCACTTACGACGAAAAACGTTCAGATTTTAAAGAAGTATAGTGTTTACTCCAATTGTTACATGTGAAAGCTGCATTATATTATAAAGTATACTTTCAACCATGTCTTATCCTTTTGAAATCAAGCACCTATCATGCCAACTCAGCATCATTTATTGAAGCAATGCAGAAGGTTCCCTGAATTCGTTTGGCTATGGAAACAATCGATACTCGCAATTTACCTGTGCAAGTGAGAGCAGGGAATCATCGTTACCCACGCCGAATACGTACGTGTCTTGGCACCAAGGCCAGTGGTATACCGTGTCGTGCATCGAACAAACGAGACACGCAGCCTCTGTGTCCGTAATTGAGGTCGGCAATTCAAGGTGGACTCTGGGAGAAGTCGATGATTGAATCAGTGACACAGACGTGAAGACACGAGATTGGGTCTCGACCGGCCGCTGCAAGGCGGGGGGGGGGGTAGAATTGCAATTTTTGTAAACCGAAGCCAGTGTCGTGCGTTGCTACACAGAGTCCTGGATTCGGTTAGCATTTCACAATTTTATATTCGTCGCTCGATTTAATCTGATAACGTCTCTTGCAAGACGTGGGGAATTCAATCCGCCACCAATGTAATGTGACAACATGTACGTTCATATGCAGGCATGTACAAACAAGATATCCCAATGGTGAAAGGGTATATTACACCGTTGATGCCAGCACGTTTCAATGACAGAATTGACACGAAGTGATTTTAGTTTCTATGCTATTTTTTTTTTCAAATTACTTCGAGACTCCTTTTTATCATCGCATTAATTTCATTTAACAAAAGAACTTACAAGTTTCCCGTCATCATCTACACTTTCCAAATTTCTCAACATTAGTCACGCTTTTGTTTAAATTTAAACCTTCGGTGGTGCAGTTCTTGTTGGCTTGCTTTCCCAAAGTAAATGCGATGCGTGCAGTCCGCACCGCACAATGCAATGATCTCTGACGAGTGGGCGTGTGGAATATTCACAACTGCCGCCCCAGGGTGTGGCGTGGGCGCCACGATGCGATGATGACGGGCATGGCACGCCACAGACAGGGGTGGGTGGGTGGACACCGCTTTCATTTCACGAACAGCGCATTACAGACGCCCCCAGCTGGGTAACTGCAAAGCCTATCAGCGCGGCCTCCCTACTTGGAACAAATTTAGATCTCGAGTTTTCATGTATTTAAAAAATATAAGTTGTTTTTGTACCGATTCTATGTCATTGTGCCGCCCTTAACAAAACAGAGCTTTTTATTTTTTCTCTTTTACAAGGGATCATGAGTGCCCAATGTATGGGATAGAAACACCAGGAATTTGTACAGAAGCGAACAGAGGCAGATTCGTCTCCCTGTAAGGTGTAGCAACAACAGTTAGAAACTTTATTTTCGGATGTTTGCTGGCTGCATCAAACATACCACTTCCACCTGATCGGCCCGCTGTTCTTTGCGTCACGTTTTAATAAGCTCATGTGCACATTCTCAAAAGGATGTATAAACTGCGAGTAGCGGACTGGTCACGTGGGACTGGTACGTTTGCCGCCACAAAGTGTCTCAAAATCTCCGACTGCGGAGCACTGCTCTTTTTGTTCAACCCCGGTGTTCTTTTCATTTCCGCGCTTCTTATTTGCAGTGTTTCATTGTGGCTGATGTACTCTTGTATTTGAACAGTCGCAGTGCGTGCGCTGATTATATTGGCAAAATCGGCTTCAGAAAATCTCAACGTTCTTGTTGGCTTGGCGCGCACAGAACGATGGGTGCTTCGAATGTCAGTTCTAGGTGATGGATTAGGTCAGAGGACACGACAGTTTTAATTTGGCAACTGTGTCGCACTGTGCGCCGGGTCTGTGAGACGATCAACAGTGTCAACACATCGCTGTTCTTGAACCACTAGAGTGCTGTCTCGCTAGCTCATGTCACTTGTCTGTCGATTTGAAGTGTGTATGAACAGGCACATAAGGGCATTGTCATCATAAGATCCCTAGGCTCTGTTTCTCGTCAAGATACCGGCGATTCCTGAATCAAAACATGTTGAAGAGACAACTCCTCATTAATCACGTTTCATTATGCGGTGTGTGATTTCTCCCGATCTGCAACGAAGGCGACGCGATCTGAATTAATACCAGACATCGCGTAGGTGTGCATCAGGTTTAGACAGGAAACCTCTTTCATCTAAAATGTCATATTTGCGAACCCTTCCAGGTTCGTTCAGTTTCTAGTAAAAAAAACAGTTTGTTTTGAGATGATTTCCATTTTAATATCCAATTTCACTTCTGTTTTGAAGGGGCCCGATATGAATGCTTGAGAGTCAAAGACTCCTACCTCTCTTTCAACAAGATACAACACTATAGCTTCTGCCTTAATTTCCACAATCCATCTGAACCGTTCATCCCTCATAGCACTCCTGTTATTGCCGCCCACGGAACTCTGTCAAAAGGGATGCGGTTTCAGCAGGGCTTGCTCCCTACGTTAACGATGCAGGGGGGAGATGGACAATGAATTTAACGTCTCTTGTCGGCCGTCTGACCCACGATCTAGGTGATGTTTAATGCCATTTTCCCGGAAAATGTCAACGCCACAATCAAGGTTTATAATATGTGACCGGATCTCACAAAGTGCGTTTTTTTTTGTTTTGTTTTTTATTTTTTGTAATTTGTTTTAGGTATCATCAGAAAGGCTCTAATAAACCGTTTGTTTTGATATGTCTTTCTCAGTTTGGTACTATTACTTTTTTGCGAGTTAAATGTGAATAAAATCTGGTACATTGAGTTCTATCACATAAACGTAACAATTTGTAGTTCTCAGGCTAAAGACGCTGCTGTTATACCTCCTGCTTGAGAGCAAGCTTTTGCACAGCGGCCACCATCTTTGGAATGGACTGGTTCCTTTGTGCCCTTATCCACTGAGGACAGTGTATTGTTGCAAGGCGTCTCTTATGTACCATAACTAAGTAAAAGGTTGCCCCCAAAAATAAGGTATAGCAGCAGTGTTTTTAGTATGGAGAATTCGAATAATGTACACGTAAATTTAAAGAACTCAGTGTGTGAGATTTAATTCAAGTGTGACTCGCAAAAAGGCTAATTGCAACTAATTATGTTGTCGTTCTAGGTTGGTTTGCATTATTCTAAGCTTAAAAATTGTGTGTATACCTATGTATAATAACACCTGTTGTGACCAGTAAGTATTATGATACACAGCTTAAGTATAAAGGTTGACTTGGAGAGTACAGTTTTGGAATTGCAACTAGAGTTATCCTTTTCATCAAATAAAAAACATAAGAGCGTTCAAATTAAAATGCACTAGTGCTGAAGAGTGATGCTCGGAATGCTCACTTGAGCTCACCATTATTTCTGTTTCCCATTTTGTTAAACGGAATGGACTTTTTTGAGCTGAAGAACCTTGAGAGAGACTCGATACTCTTTGTCTCCCTACCTTTCCTGACGGCATCCTTAATTCTTGGAATGATGAAATTTCAATGTGAAAAGCAGTAAGGAATTTCCCCGCATTGTCATAACCTGTTACACTAGTAGACCCAGTGGGCACCGTTCGTCACCAAAGCAGGTGGCAGCATGGCAAATGGTGCAATACGAAACAAAAGTCAATGCAATTCTGCAGTGGGGTGATGTAGAAAAACATCAGTGAAATCTCGTGTCACTTTCACGCCAATTTTTTCCTTTTCATGAGAGAAAAAAATATAGAAGGAGGCGACTTAATATACTTGTTGAAGTTTTTTATTTTATTTTACGAGGAAATATATTCTACATCGGCAGGGCTACTTGACAGGATTTCTACTTTGTACATGTCAGCTTTAAACACCGAGAATGAGATTTGCTTGAAAGTCTCGATTTACAGCTTTAATATTAATGGAGGTGGATTGCACTCATGAAGATGAGTTTCATTGTCGCTTATATTCAAGTCTCTTGTGATCACATGGCTGTTAGGCAGTGGTGTGGATTACAAGTGGAAGTAACACGATGCATCTGCAGAATGAGTAGGAGCAGTCCTACTCATTTTAACAAAGGCTGAAAATTCTTCCTGTTTTTCAAAGAGAACAAGGAAATTTCCGCGATTGTATTTTTTAATTATCTCTTCCCTGTGGTCATTTCTCTACACAGATTTCCAAAAAGGCGAAATTATCCATATTCATGAATCTCAACGTCGATGACCCTATCGATGTAGTTTATTTTGTGCCCTGAGTTATATGACAAAGAGAGCAACACGAAGACCCAACAACTGCCATGGAATAATATGAATTATTGCCGGCAAGAATATGGGACGGAGGGGTACCCCTACGTGTCCAATCCGCATACACACTCTAGACTATTGTTACCTAACACACAGCCCCTAGATGTGTGAAAAGAATTCCTGAGATTCTGGTCAACCAATGATGAGCACGAGGTGGGGAGCTCTCCCGTCTGATATCTCACTTCAAATGGAACAGTAAAGAGGACAATCGGTCTCCAATAAGCTTTTGCGAGTCAAATTTGAATAAATCTGGTACGCTGAGTTCTTTAAATTCACGGGAACGTAACAATATTGAATTCTCCATACTAAAGACACTGTTGTTATACCTCGTGATTTGGGCAAGCTTTTGCTTAGTTACATAAAGACGCCTTGCGTCTCAAAATACACTGTTCTCAAACTGGATAAGAAGGGCACAAAGGGAAACCAGTCCATTCCAGAGATGGTAGTCGCTATGCAAAAGCTTGCCCCGATTCATGGGGCATAGCAACAGTGTCTTTACTTTGAGGAATTCAAATATTGTTCCGTTTATGTGCAATCCGATAACTCTGTGTACCAGATTTTATTCCAATGTAACTCGCAAAGGCCTAATGGGTTAGCATCCAACGATTTTGAGTACAAATCCTGCGTGAGCCCAACAATCCAAGCAAGAGGAGAGCAACGGGGCATTCATGACTGCAGACAAACTACAATTTCGTGTGTTTTGTTGATTTGCAGGCAACAGATACGGTAGAAGCGGAAGCAGAACCAAAAGAAGGCAAGATTGAGAAAGAGGAATCCCCCGAAGAAACAAAAGGTACAATTCTAACATCGGTGTAAAAGTGTGATATATAGTAACAAGAAGCCGATCACGTGTGACGATTTCGTGTCGTCGTTAGTAAGCGTTTCAGTAAGAGTAGCCTCATAAGATCTAAATGGAAGCAAAAAGTGTATACACGTTAAAAGGAAACAATGCTCTCCCACCTGCAGGCATTGGAATTTATTTGTGTCCATTCCCTGCTGTTCTTAGCTATAGCACATTTTAAGAGGTAATTGCACCTTTAACATCAATTACCGACAAACTGAGTCTGTTTATGAGGCGATTCTTTTGCGTTTGTCAAAAAACCATGCTCCAGAACGTTTCAACATTCTCAACGACCCCTTGTTTAAAAATAACTGTTTATTTTATAGTAATTGTTGGATTTTTTTTATTTGGGCAGATGATGCTGAAGAAAAGGAGAAGACAGAGGTTGTAGAAGGCTCAGGTCTTGACACGGATGAGAAGGATGAAACAGTCCAGCCGAACGAGGAAGTGACAAACTTCAAGGAGATCGAGACAGATGAAAACAGTCACATCACCCATGGCAATAACGAGCTGTCTTACCCAGGTGTGTATAAAGAGTAATTGCGTGACATAAGTTGGAATTGAAAGAGAAGTGCAAACGAATGTGGTACATTTTGGTTCACGCACTGGTTCTCGCGCTAATGCCTTTGCCCAAATCGTTTCACTAGCCTGGTTTTAATGAAAGAAAAAATTAGCTTGGTGGTCTTATCATGTGCTACGCAGCTTGGGGGAAATACATCCCAAAACACAACTTCCATGAAAAATAACTAAAAAAAATAATAAATTAAAAAAAAATTTATTAAAAATATAGAAAAGTTACGGGTGTTATGAATTGGAGATTACGGTTACAGTTGATTTATTTAAATGTATTTGAATTTGCAGTTAATGAGAACTTTCAAAAGTTCCTTCTTTTGTTATTGAGTCAGTAATAAACCGTTCTTGGTTTCATGCCCGTCCATCAGACCATTCCTATTCTTTTTTTAAAGCAGGTATGATGACTGAATAATTTCATGGGAAATCAAATCCTATTTCGGAAATTAACTTCAAGGGGTATTATGGATTCTCTGAAACTAACCGTGCCATGTGAATTCGGTTTACTTGTTTTGTGTTATCCTTTCAGTACAGGAAACACAAAGATATAATGTCATAATGTAAAGAAAGATAAACGAATGAGAAGGACAGAGGAGGTGGCGAAAGGGTAGACTATTCTATGTAGTTTGTTGCTGCTGGTCACACTTCTGTTGGTGGCAGAAGTGGGATGCGCATGACAGTCCTCTCAATTACTGATTAATTGTTGGTCAGGATCCTTTGGGAATGACTTCGATGACTATCGTCTCAGCGAGGAGGACGCTATGGAGCTTTTGCGGGAACTCGCCGACCCGACTCAGGTGGCGCTCTTCATCATGCAAACTGATGATGTCACTGGCTTCCTGAGATCAGTACAAATGCTGCAAGATCAGGGATTCGTAAGTAAAACCAGAGCTTTTTCTTCATTTCGTTGGTTTCGGAACTGGCTAGGTGGATCTTTGATAAAAAATGATATATTATAAAAAAAAACAACTTTAACTTTCCTAGTAAACGCGATTGGAATCGTTTAAAATGAGGTGCTAAGGATAAGTGTGAGTATGGGGTGTTGTAACGAACGCTTGAATAAAAAATGATTTTTGCTTTAGGCAAGGTTTAACTTTTTAATCAATACAACAGTAAGCTGAAACTGCTGAAAGGTTATATCTGATAAATGAATGATTTCTAATCTTTCAGATCAGCGATGAGTACGCCTTCCTCCTCAAGGAGGCAGTATCTCAGGAATTGGAGCAGCTTCTTATGATGCAAGATGGGGAGATGTATGGAGATCCTCTTGGACTTCAGAATGTTGAGCAAACGGAAAATGATTACGTGAGTACATGCGCACACACAGAGTTAATGATGACGTCATAGAGACAGCGACCCCTGTCTTCATTTGTTGTTTTTCCGAGCAAACAAGTTGTTGATCAATCATACCCCATTATATTTCGACTGCAAACGCATACACGAAAATTTGACGACATGTTTTAGGTCATCACTGACATGTTCTGTGTAGTTTTTTTCTTACAATCACATGTATTTCACATTGGGTTTACAGTAGCCGATTTTTTTTTCAATGATTACAAAATCTGCAGTGATTACGTGGAGTTGTGAGGGATTTCAAGAGACCAAGGAACTATTACGTACAAATAATTTCCGATATATCTGTTGTTCGCATTGCTTTGCTGTATTGTTTATTTGCTGTGCCGCAGGTTGTTATGTTCTTGGAAATTCAGTACAGTTTACGTGAAAGTGAAAACTTCTTTGTTATAACTGATATCGCTTTGCTGGCGTACAACGAATCGCGACCAGGCTTACTGCACTGATTTCATTTGTAAATGAATCACGAACTTAAATATTCCAAGTTGTCAAGTGTGTTGCTGTTGATTTGCTTGATATGTTCAGTTAATCAGTTTTTAGAAAAATGGAATGGGCGTTTTTTTTCCGCCTTGTTTAATAACTATGATTTCATAGCATCTGCTGGAGATGAACCCCCCACAAAGTTGCTGGACTCTAACTTGTTCGAGTTTCCTGTTTTTCATGTTATCACTTCTAAAGTTGACCAACTTTTTTCAATGCGTTGATTCGTCTTTTGGTATATTTAAACCTTTTCGAATTGAGACTTAACATATTTTGCTTCTCTTTAATTCGACTTTCGGCAAATTTTTTGTATTGTTGTTTTATAGAAATACCGAAACCATTCATATCCACTGAACATTGAAATACTACACTTTCTGTTCTCATTTTATTTAGACTTTAATCCTAAATCTATCTTTTATCTTCACAGATTAGGTTTAATGAGGGGGTTGAATGATCGTTTGAAATTTCCTTTTTTTTTTCTTTCACTTATTTCTAATTCCTTTCCAGGTTGATGAGATGCTGAACAGACCCGTCCCCTACTTCCCCGAAGATTACTTTGACAACACTCTTCCATATCAGCAGGATGATTTCTACCCTGAAATTGAAAATTATGATCTTTTCCGACAGCCATACTCTGAAGGTACATGACCAGTGCAATGTTAATCCAAGAGAAACGGTTCTTTAACTTATTTATTTCATAACGTGGTTTATTTTTCAAAACAGTGAAAAGATCTATACACATGTACCTATATAATTGCGAAACGAATAACGGTATACCGTTATTCTGCTCTTCAGTCATTAAAACTAATATGCATAAAAAAGAGAAGATGTTTGACAAAACAAGCAGAGACTGACGAATCGTTAAAGGTCGATTAATTAGACCAAAGCAAGAAGAATATTTAGCCATAATCAATCAAAATGCTGCAGAAAACATTTCGTCATTCACGGCATGAACAGACTCTCTGTGAATTGTTAAATGAACTGACTCTGTGAATGGTTAAGCACCTGCAGTGTGTAGGTCGCCGTAAAGTGATGAATTCCCAATCATAATATTCAGCAAAACGTTCATGTGATTGAGAGAATGTCAACAACTGATTGCCAGTTTGATCGCTGTTAATTTGTAACCAGTCGACGATAATGGCCGTGGACATTTCAAAGAATAGATTTTACAGAATCTTTTTGTAAGGTTTGCATAAAATTAAAGTGAATCACAACGAAGTTGACTGTAAGTCACCACATGTTCTAGGTGGGAGTCGAACAGCGGTTACCAGATATGGTCTTTGCATTATTGCGTGACCAGTTCACTCGCCGATCGTTTTCTTTGGCCAACTTTGGAAAACATGACTTTTTACCAATAACTTCAGTTCTGGATTTTTGTTCCTTGCTTTAGAGACAATGGCGCTTGCCCAAATCGCCAACATTATTGCTGACCAAATTGAGAGTGGCGAAATGTCAACAGCGAAAGGCGAGAGAATAATTGGTGAGTTAAAAAGGGTGGACACTGTGTGATAGGACAAATCTCACATGAGATTAGCTGTCGTCGGTTGGTATATCCATAAGAATATTTCATTGACGATTAGAAGGTATTATTATTTTTCATCTTGTCTGCATCTTGTCTGCATTTTTGGCTGAAAGGGTTGTATTGAGATTGCCCAAACTGTGTGCAGATTGTCAGGAAAATGATTTGGTTCTTACCTTTTCAGACATACTTTCGCAACTTCTCCCTGAGGGCTTCTGGCAAGACGACGACATCACGGACGAGATGATGGCGGACCTGGGGGAGGCCTTCGCCAACCTGTACCCAGAGATCCCGGTGGGAGAGCAGTACCAGACCTTCCAGACAGAGGACGACGAGCCCCTACCGGGAGGAGAGAGACACACCGAGGAAGAGGTGATGGTGGATGAGGAGGGACATCCGGTGGCGGAGGTGGTCAAGGTGCAGGAGGAGCAGGAGCTAGGGACGGACGGAGAAGAGGCGGACGAGGAGGAGGGAAATCCAGACGAGGAGCTGGAGAAGGAACTACTGGGGATGGAACCTGAAACATCTGAAGAGGTCGAAAAGGCGCTCCAAGGTCAGTCCTGTTCTGTGATTCGAACACATCTTCAACGAGAAGCGTAGTGGAAAAAAGCCCACAACATTACGAAAATCCTCTCAGTTGCCATTTCACAGAGTATCAGTCGTGACGAATTTTGTTTTAAGGCTGACCATTGAAATCCTGTTATATTTGACACCCATAAATCTTGTCAACATGATTACATAATTCGTGCCTATTTTTTCAATAAAAATGAAAATTTAATTCATGAGGTGACGCAAGATGTATATAGTAAGCTGAAACAAGACTGATAAAACCTGAAACAACAGCGTGTTGTGTGAACAGGTTCTTTTTGGTAACAACGCTTCCCTCGTAGTTTCCTTACCCTATGTGGAATTATGGATCATTGTGCAGTGGTCCCTATTTGTCGCAACTACGAAAAAATAAAACGACATTTCAAAGGAGTTTTTCTCTTGACGTGTTCCGAACAGATGTGGAGAAGCTCATGACGACTGATGAAGAGACAAAGGGTAAAGAGGAGGAGGAAACGGATGAAGAGATTGGTGACTCAGGCTGGAAAGATCTTGTATTGCTGTTGGACGAAGGTTGGTGGCACACTTCAGGAAAGTCAGTAGGCCTACCAGCAGGCCACATTTTTTACTAAGGCATATCCCACACTGATCTTTCATTTGCTGTGTCACAAGTGCAGTTTTTGCCAACTTGGTACAACCATAGCTGGCTGTGAGTGCAAGACCAACAGAATATTTTACAAAGTTTAAACACATCTTGTGCAAATTTTAAAACATGAAATAATAGATCTATTAAAGACTATATGCTTCCGATTAGGAAAGCTGCTCTGGCAAGTTGAAGGCCGGTTCATATATTTGAATTTTATATTCATAAACAAAGTCAATTGACGTCAGTAACGTTTGCAGAGAAATTTTATTAATGAGTTGAAATGTATTCAACTTCTGCGAATAACCACCGCGCGAATAATTGATCTGAAGTTAGGAATTTGTGTTCGTGCTCGCTTTTGCGCCTAGCCTTCAGGTGAGAACTGCTGCCAAAAAGGGCATACGATATGACTGCCCACTGCTTCTACTAAACGAGGCTTTTAAAGTAAAATGCAATGTTCGAAGGCTGCTGGTAATACGTTGTAATATGTGCATGAAAGAAGGGGTAGTGGGGTCGTGGGCAATTACAAAGTTTAAAAAGGAGTTTGCTCGAGTTGGCCTGCGTAGTGTTATGGATTATAAGAATACAAGTGATGCTGATGTCCGTAAACCGAATCCTAGAAGATACTCTCAGAATGTTTCCTGCTGGAATTATCAATTTTGAAAGGTTATTGAATTAAACTGCCCAAATTTGTTGCCTTGAATTTTTGTTTTATTCTGTTGAAAACACACGCTCAGTTCAACGATATATCGATTTGAACCGAGCTAATTAGAGTGGCACCTGTATTACATAACATTATAATATCTTACAGGCATTTTGCCTTAAAAAACTTATTTATCAACAGCAGTGGGTTGTCAGGTTGTCAGGTGTAATTGGTTCAGGTAGATTGAACTTTTCTCCTTCATGCATGAAGACAAAGTTACACAGTTTTTAATTGATTTTGCCCGACAGCAATCATCGTGATGCAGCTTAGTGTTTAAATGAGTATACGAATTGACGACAAAAAATAACTTGATTTCGCTCAAACTACAAATTTGTCACTTTGTTAAAACGGCTACAAAATTACGCTTTCTCTTTGACTGCTTGGAATTAAAGAAAGCGTTATTTTCCGAGTCTTCCGTGTGGAAGAGGTTAGAAATCTGGAAAATACGCCATGGTCTTCGATACGCAGGAAATCCTTTGGTCAAAATAGAACCTGGTTTTCATTCGTCCTTTTTATTGCGTCTGCAGGAAAGATTTCTGATGAACTGCTCAAAGAGCTCGGCCTTACGAGGGAAGACTTGATGGAACTAACAGAGCGCCAACTAGCCATGAACGGGGACGAGGTAGCCTCAAAACCCTGAGTCCCAAAGACCGGGGCCTTTGGAGAAATTTACATCAAAGTCACTTTATGTCCTAAAACTAAAAGAAGAAAACTTCAGACCAAAAAAAGCACCTTGAATTTCTGACCACAGAAGTACTAATTTCAATCTATAAATTTAGATATCGAAACCTACAAATCTGCCTTTGTTTATTTTTCTTTTAGTACAGGGCAATTCAAGTTGTAAATAATTAGTTTGAATATTGGCACTGTCATCATTTTAATCAGTTTTCCACTCAATAGCGAAAAGAAAAAAGCGACAAAATAAACATGAAGGTTTGATCAAGTAAAATAATTGATAATCTTACACTGAAGTTGAAAAAGCATACTTTCAAATAATATGTAAGGAAATCATTTATGCGGAAACTGTAGTCTGTGTTACATCCAACTATCCTCTCAATAGCCTCTTTGATGTATGAATACATGTAGTATATTTTCATTGTTGACTTGTGATCAATCCATTTGACACGCGTGATGTTGTTAAGTTAGTGTAAATTCTCACTATGTATTTGCAATTTATTTATTTATAAATTATATTCCATTAACATTACCAGCAAAATGTGCAATGAGTTGACATTTCTTCCTTTCGTTTGAATTTTCCAAAGAAAAATCTCAAAGTAACAACAGCTTTGTCGAATTTCTATTTTTATCACAGATTTTCATGAGAAATTTTAAACATTCCAATTTAATTTAAACCAACAATCATGATGTGGTAAGAAAGCTTTCTACGGAACTTATTCCTTACTTTCTCTCAACTGGCACGCCTTTAACAAAAAAATAAACTTAGTTTCCAAACCATAGCAAGCAACCTACGTATTGAAATTGTTCTTTCAACCCCTCGCCCTGTGTAAAATCACTTATTTTATTATTTTTTATCATTTTCCAATTTGACATATGCCCATGTTTCTCTGTAAGACAGTTTCTAAATACAGATTGAAATATTAAAAGGTTTATTAATTTAATTTTTTTTCAATCTGGCTATCTGCCATTTCAAAAGATTATTTATATATTATTCTTGAAGAAAGATTTCAAATGTATTTTTATATTTGAATTACGTGCAGTAGCCGAGAGAATATGGATGAATATTCGCACATTTCATTGCTGAGGTTATTGACAATTTAAAGAT